TTCCGAACAGATTCCATCCGAAGTGCATGAAATCTTGAAAGAATCATCTCTATTATTCTTGTAAAGATACTCAGCAGGATTAAGCTTGAATCCTTGTAGGATCCTGCATTCATGATTTCGAAAAATATCTTGATAGAAACCTGGATAGATCATAAATAGGTCCCTGCCTAAACGTGGGAAGGCCAAGAAAAGTGAGCTCCGCATGTAAACTCCAAATTTGGAGCTCAATTTTTTTCTCAATCCTTCTGTTATGATTTATAGCACCACTAAGAGTACTGGTAGCATTACCTTGGATGCCAGAGGCATTTCCTGGGATCCCACTAACCTTGCCTAGGATGCTAATATCAATTCTCTCGGCTGCTATGGGCACCACCGGAGATGCTACAGGCATTGCCTGGGATACTATGAGCCCGGCGCAAAATGCTACTAGCGTCGTAGGTAATGCCTCTGGCATCCAAGAAGATGCCTCTAGGATCCCCGGTAATGGCTCTAGCGTCCCAGGAAATGCTTCTAGCATCATAGAGAACACATTTAGCAACCTAGGAAATGCTTCTAGCATGAAGGAGAAGGCTTCTAGCATCACAGAGAATGCTACTAGCATCTCAGGGAATGCTACCAGCATCACAGGGAATGCTAATGGGATTCCAGGGAATGCTACTAGCATCAAAGCGAATGCTTCTAACAGCCCAGGAAATGCTAACAGCAACCCAGGGAATGCTACTGGGATCCCAGGGAATGCTTCAAGCATCCCACTGAATGCCACTAGCATCCCAGGGAACGCTATCAGCATCACAGGTTATGGCTCTAGCATCTCAGGCGATGCTATTAGTATTCGAGGAAATGCCCGTAGCATTCCAGAAAATGCTACTAGCATTCTAGGTGGTGCTATGAACCATAGCAGAGGGACTGAAAAGAAGATGAGCTCCAAATTTAGACTTTACGCAATTTGGAGTCTACGCAGTTTGGAGCTTACTTTTCTTGACCGCGTGCGAAACCCTGGAAAAACGAATTATCAAGAACTGCGGCAGGATCTTGAAGAAAACCTGACAAGATCCTTGAAGTCCAGGATCCTGAAAGATTCGTCCAGAATTTCTCAATGAATGGTCAAAATTGAGACTAGGGTAATACTTAACCCTCACACCCACACGCACAGCCAGCATCTATTTCCTAAGCCACATCCGTAGTCATATCTAACCCAGAACGAAGTCAAGAGCAGAAAAAAATCATTTTGCGCGCAAGTGTCGCACGCGTAAGTGTCGTGCGCGAAAATGTCGTTGCGCGAAAGTGCCGCTGCGCGAAATTGTCGGCGCGCAAATGTCACGCGCGCAAATGTCGTGCCACGAAGGGTGATTACACTCCATCTTAATTACTAATACAGAAGTGTTAAATTAATTTTTTAATGTTAATACAAATGCATCAAAGAAAGTTTCAATGTCAATAGAGAAGTATTAGCATTTTTTAATTCAACACTAACTTATCACCTGTGTTATAGTGCATACGCTTCGATTCTTTATTTTCTCTCCTTTCGTTATATGATATATGTATTCACTGATATCGTATGATATCATCTCATCTCTTTTACGACCTCGACTAACCCTTGTGTTCCTTTTTCTTTTGTTCACGTCACTTATATATATGTCGATGTTTTTCTATAAATAAACGAGTCGGTATAAACCGAAACATCGCTTCACATATATCACTCTAACAACCTGTATGCATGACTCAACAGTTGTTGGCGCTCACCTGGCCAGTCTTTCTGTTTCATCGTCGATATCTATATAAAAGCTTATCAGTACAACCCTATGGAGAGAAAAAGGTGTTACTCTCTATATTAAGTTGAGGCGATAAAATTAACGCAGGCATGTTTTTAAAAGGTGGCTTGTAATGGCAATTGAGTGACACATTTTAGACTAGTTAGGATCAACGCCAATATATTTTATGCTGACTACCTTCTCATATTTTTTCTGTAATGCTTCTAATGTCGATATCGCTGCCAGAGAGGAGGATCCAAAATTCTGCTTTAAAGTCCAACTCTCTATCCTATTTTTCTTTAGAGAATTTCACAAAATGCTAGAGCCAAATCCTGATAAAAGTGTGTTGGACGAGATCATTGAGAGCAAGAGACACTACAACTATAAAATCGAATATAATGGAATATTGGATCAATCATACCATGCATGTATCTGGCGCATTACGAACTCGGAGCCACCAATGAGTATTTGCGTGAATCTGTGAAAGCTTTGTATTAAATCTGGACTTCGCTGCAGTAAGAACAACGTTATGATTACAGGAAACACGTGAAAAACCTATCTAGGCAACAATGTGAGTCAAATTTCACTTTTAGATCCTTTCATAGATTTCGCTCAAAAAACTTAACAGATTTGGCATTACTTTCCTCTTTGACTGACTATTTGCCGTTTGTGTGCATACAGTTTAGTAGAGCAGATGAGCTCTGTGAGACAGGAAAAATTTCAAACGGGTTTGAACAGTGAGATCTTCCGTCCGATATTATGATGATTTTACTCGATTTTGGACCTGTAGCCACCGTATTTAAAGAAAAATCGAATGAAAAAATTTCAATTTGATATTTTCCTCATGAATAGATCTCAGGACACTTAAAATGTCCTAAAAATTTCAGTCAAAATGAATGATTCATTCTCGTAATATTAAATTATCAATAAAACTCTATTTCTCATATCTTTCTATGAAATATGCGGATTGGTTGAATTTCTCGTGCCGGTCTCATGGCATGTACTGCCTGCTGGATCAATTCAAAATACATCTTGTCATGATTCCAACATATGCCGTATTTAGTTCGATATGTATCGTTTTCAAAAGATCGCGAAATCATTCAAAGTTAGTAAAACTATAAGCTCGAAAGCTTCAGATCCCATAAAGAAATGACCCAAATGCGCTTATACAGGATTGATTATTGTCAGTATTTAAAAAATATCTCGAAAACAAAAAAAAAATACTTGTTTGCTACTTTTTTACCAGAGATGGCACAAAGCTCAGACTATCAAATGTTAGAAACTGATTGATAGTCTCTCAATGGTCAGTATGACTATATTTCAGAAACTATTGTCTGTTTAAAAATAAAATGGTCTGCGCCATTTTTCGAATAATTTAAGAAGGGAAGCAGCTAGCGAGCTGCAATTTTCACCAGTCGAAAGAGAAAGACGATACTAGGACATCTTTATCTCGAATATTGTATAAGATAAAATCATTTTAAAATCAAACGTTTGTACAAAATTTCGAAAAAAGGCACAAAAATTATCTGTCGTTCATAAGAAATTTTGACAAAGCGTAAGAAAATTTGCTTAAAAATTAAGAGAAATTCATACTTTTCGAGGGAGTAAATAAAGAATTTGACTTGCTTAACATTATAATGCGTGAAGATGATCATTCAGATTATATCTTAAACTATTGATTGGAGGTCCCTCTATCCAAATCACATATCAAAACTAAGATTTCCTCGGAACGACAGACCGTTTTCATGGATTTTTTTGCAATGTTTTGCAGAAATGATTGATTTTAAAGTGATTTCGTCTTATACAATATTGAAGATAAAGATGCCCCAGTTTCATCTCTCCCAACTAGTGAAAACTGCAGCTCGCTAGCTGCTTCCATTCTCAAGTTATTCGCAAAATGGCGGAGACCATTTTATTTTTAAACAGACAATAGTTCGAGTTATGGCTAAATGCTACCTAATGGATTTGTTCTTCAGCAATTATTCACTATATCTTAATAAGAGAGCAATAGCTGTTTGTGATGTTTAGCACTTAGAAGAAGCAAAATTTGGTAGTAAAGTTTACATAATCATGTAAAATAATCGAAGTTTATATCTTGATTTATAATGTAACTATATGTGCATACATAGTTATAGTGCGGATCAAGGCACAGATTTCGATTATTTATATGATTATGTAGAGTACTTTTCTCTAATAACGACGGAAAAAAGTTCACTTGTCTTATTGAACTCGATTCATAGTCATTTTACACTCGATTGAAAATATATTTATATTTGCATAATTCTTGAATGTTTCTCTTTCGAATGCATGGGCCATAGAGTGAAAACCAAGTAAAACGATCATAATTCTCGAAGGAAGATCTCACGGTCGAAATATTTCTAGAGTTTTTCATATCTCTTAGAGATGTACTCGCGATAAAAGTATGAACTCTGTTGACGAGAAACAGTTGAAGTCCTTCTTTCGTGAGGACCGAAGGATATCACCGCTTTTCCAGTCTTGCCCATGGGACTGTGTGACTTCCCTATGTCGTGTTTCTATGTTCATGTATGTTCTTTTGCGGAGACAATACATAAAATATGATTGTGCCAATTATCTTTTTATTGCTCTATTACTGATTCTTATCAATCTGTCTCTCATAATCATCATGTTCAATATAGCCATAAATATTCTTCCGCTCAATTCTATCAAACGAATAAGTAGTCGACAAAATCAATTTCACTGCTATAAATTCTCATTGCTTTTGCTTTTGGTATCTGTGGTGTACCAATAAAGATGCCATTCATGTACAACATCATTGTTTCCACTGGTCGTCCTTTTCTCTATTCTATCAATCGTTTATCACATTCTTTCGTGTGTCCTCACAGATGTACATCTTTCAATTGAAAACAACAACAAGACATTATTAGATACACTGAAGCAGTTAATAGATCCAATCAATACGGCCTACACTAACATCTATCCAGGCACACATATGGATAAGTTAATCTTGTGATGGTGTTCTTTATCGATACGAGATTAAAATGTCTTTTCTATCGACAATCACCAGCTCACTATTCGACTGCTGCACCAGCTGACAGTAGTTGCTTAGTCGAACGGTGACTTGTAATTGATTCATCAAAGGAACCGAAGGTAGAATGTACAGTTAATTTACTGTAGCTGGAAAGCACAAAATCACTAAGTTTCTGTTATTATTGAATATTGATGTCTGTTCTAGCGTAAAAACCTATTGTTAGATCAAATCTTGTAGATATGTCTTCATCTAGTCGATCTTCATTTCCAATAATGATTAAAAACTCCCAAATAGTCGAACAAGAAGAAGAAGATTTGGATGAATATCTTCTTCATGAAATGGGTTATGCACAAGAGCTCTATCGTGGTTTTTCTCCATTTATGTCGTTTGCCTTCTGTTTCACTACTGTCAATGTGATTACATCAATTTCAATCGGTTTTAATTATGCATTAAACACAGGCGGATCTGGCGTAATCATTTGGTCTTGGTTGATTGGATCTTTTTTCACTATTCTCATCGGTCTCACATTGGCTGAAATATGTTCTGTCTATCCAAATGCTGGTTCTGTCTATCATTGGCATATATATATATATTTTGTCTTCTCTATTGATTGATTATCATCTAACTCTCTTTCATATAGGGCCGGTCAACTTGCACCTCCTCGACATGCTCCATTAGCGTCATTCATCTGTGGATGGTTTAATTTCGTCGGTAATGTTGCAAGTAAGATTAAAAGACGCGTATGTCACTGTTTGTCAATAATAAAATAATTCCTATATAGGCGGTGCCGCTTTTTCATCTGGTTTTTCAACCATTATAAATACTGCTGTTATACTTGATGGTAAATCACCATTGAGTACTAGCACTCAAATGGCCATTAGTGTAGGAATTACTTTTGTGTGGGCTGTTCAAAATGTACTTCGAATCGATCAACAAGGATGGCTTAACAATGTGGGTACCTTTGTCCAGATCGGTTCTACAATAAGTACTGTTATTGTTCTTTTTGTCATGGCCCCACAACGAGCTACTGCCTATGATGTCTTTATATCGACTTACAATGGTACTGGCTTTCCATTTGTTTATGTGTGTTTCATTTGCATTCTTTCTACACTTTTCTCATTCTCCGGCTATGAAGGTATAGATAGTTGATACTTTGATTATATAACTTCTCACTGCTTGTTTCTATTATTTATAAAGCCGGCGCACATTTGGCCGAAGAGACTCGAGCTGCTGACAGTGCAGGTGAATGAATATGTGAAGATAGTGAAGCGAGATAAAGATATATATTCTTTATTTACAGCTCCCAAAGGTATTGTTGGTACATGTCTGTGCAGTGCCATAGTCGGTATTACATATTTGCTTTCGCTTCTCTTTGCTATTCCGAATGTAGCCACATTTATCAAAGAGAATAATAATAATAATTCATCGATTAATTTAGCCGTAGCTACCTATCAATTAGCTGTACCACGTCGAGGTGCACTTGCACTTACTATTCTACTCGCTCTCAATCTTCATTTTGGTGGTATGGCAGTTATTACAGTGTCAAGTCGTATCGGGTAAGATTCTTCGATTAACGGATCTCTAATCTTTATTTTTTGTTTTAAGTTTTGCAATGGCTCGCGATGGTGTATTTCCTTTTTCACATTATCTTCGTTATATATTTGAACCGACAAAAACTCCTCTAGCCAATGTATTTCTTGTATTTCTTATTGATTCTGTTCTTCTCTTACTTCAATTAGTATCAACAACTGCATTTACAGCTATTATTGCTATTACTACACTAGGCTATCAAATATCCTATTTGATACCAATTCTTTTACGGTGTACAATTGCTCGACATACATTTCCTGTAGGTGAATTTAATTTGGGTCGATTTGGTATTCCAATTGCTATAATATCATCTATTTGGCTCAGTATTACATCGATTATTATGTTTTTTCCTGCAAATTATCCGGTAACAAAAGATAATATGAACTACACCATAGTAGTCGTTGCTGGTGTTGCACTCATTGCTTCAATCCATTGGATCATTTCGGCTCGTCACCGATTCGTCGGACCCCAACGAGCCGATACTCATCCGATCCTATTGCCGTCAGGACATGTCACCTCCGAGGATACAGCGATGGAGGCAACAATGACAGCATCCAATATCACGCTCTCTCAACTAAGCGTGTCGCATTAACATTTTTTAATCTTTTGGTGCCGGATTTTTTTGAAAAATAAAGTTTTTTATACAAGTAAAAATAGATGTTTATTCAAACAAAAATCATTATCAAAAGTATTTTAGGGTATGATAAGCTTGAAAACAATCAATTATGCATAACCTAACATAGCATTTCTCACACTGATATCGTATACATTTGACTGATTTTTCCTGTCTTATTGTATAAGAACATACAGGGGTGTGGGTATTGGGTAGGTGGGAGTATAAATGTGGACGTGGGTGGCAGTCGTCACTTCCTCTATACCCACATCCACTTCCATATCACACGCCCACACTCTACATCCACATCCATACCCTAAATTCTTAGCTTTTGACTCCGTCAGAAATACTTTCTAACGGATCAAAAGTGTACAAGCATTTTGTCTAAAAGCTTTCTGCACACTAATTATCATATCATTGTTTTAAAAGGTTCAAGACGGAAAGTCTGAATATATATTCGGTAATAGCGAATCTTTTGCGCGTTAGATTACTAATGAAAGAAACTTAACGACGAACATTTGAAATTTTTCTTGAAACAAAATGAAACAGTGTAAAATATTCTTCACAGATTATTGAGAAATCAGTAACAATAAAATTTCAGAGAAGATTTCTTCGATTAATGTAAACGAGACAAGAAAAAGAAAAAAATTAAATATAAACATTCTTATGAAAAACATATTCTATCCTCCAGATTTCTTCCAGGGTATTTTTCATATTATTAAAAATAAATGTGCTTTATTTGAACTTTATCCCATGACAGTTCTTTGTTCGATGAGAAGAAAAACAAAAGCTCCTTAAGTGCAATTTAACGAGATATAAATAGTAGTGTGCTATAAATCAAAATAAATTTCATTTTGTGTTTTTCAAATACATAAAACGGTACATTTATTAGAAGACCATAATCTGGCTATCCATCATCATGAATTACCATTTCTTGCAAAAAGAATTATGCTTTTTGCTTTTATCATATCTGTATCATTTTTACGTTTGTATTAAGATTCTAATTCATATACCAGATATTCTTTTTTAGCTACTAAAACTGACAATTCTTTATCTAATCCTTATTAATAACTCAAAAAGAACAATATCTAAAAGAGATGTTCTGTTTCTTGTTTTTGATGTACCTAAAAATGACAACAGTTTAAAATAAGACAGAAAAAAAGGAGTAAAGTTTTTCGAAAAAAAGAAAACCACGAGTAAGAAGAATTACAGACAATAATAACAACACTGAGAACAACAGCACAGAATCAGTCAAAACTGACAGGATATAAAATGAAAAAAAAAGGTAAGACGATAAAAACAGAAGAAGAAAATACGTGATAACACAGATCTATACATGAAAAGAGATATTGCTGCAAAAGAGAAACGTACAGGTATTAATAGAAGTCAAAAAAAAAATAAGAGAAATCAATGAAAACACATATCTTGAATGTGTTTAAAATATTCAAAAAAAAAAGAAAAGTTTGGTTAATTATTATTTTTTATTTTGGTCGTTGAAATTTATTTTAGAACTTTTAAAATTCTTTTCTAAATTTTTTCGTTGTTGCAATACAAACTAAAACCAAATTATAAATTATAAGAATAAAAACAATAACATTAAATTTTTCAAATTTTCTTACATGGTTCTTCTTCGTATCCATTAAAATGACTTGCATCACCTAAATAAAATAAAACAAGAAATTTATAAATAAATGTTTTTTTGAAATCAAACAAACTCGCTCCTTTTATTTTCGGTACAAATGGTGCTTCCATTTTTCGTTGATATAAAGCAATTCAATCCGTATTTGAAAACCATTTATGAGTTTTAATATCATCAACATCATTTTTTAAATTTCCATATCGTTTTGTTAAATCAACTTGAAGAAGATTACATAATAGATCTTTTAAATTACCACTAAAATGTGATGAATATCGTACCTAAAATTTCATTTTAAACTTAAATATTTAACTTTATTAAGTCCTCTTACTTTTCATGATACAATTTTTTCATAGATTTCAATTGGTTGATCAACAAAAAACGATGTATAGCCCTAAATAATAAAAAACAAACATTGCTGTTTCTTTGTTGTAGTAAATAAAAATCTTAAACGTACAGCTGACATTTCATATATTGATACACCTAATACCCATCAATCAACTGCTTCACTATATCTTTTTGATAAAATTGTTTTCGGTGCCAAATACTCTATTAAAATACGAAGTATTCTTTTATTTGATATTCAAATTTTTTTTCTTGATTATACCTGGTGCACCGCATAATGGGTGTGGGTGTGATGTGTTAGATGTACATGTCGTCCTCTTCAAGAATCCACACCCACACCCCATACTGGAAGAAGCTTAAAAAGCACCTAGATCAGCCAAAAGAAGCTTCAGCTTTTAATGAAACGTTTGAATCATATATGATCGTCACCTCTTCTGAACGTTTCAGCCTATATTACAAAGTATAGGTTTAGAAAAAAAAGTAGATTTCCCGAACGACTTGCAGAAAGAGCAAATCATATATATATATATAGATAGATCTATTCGAATCCTTTACAACGCAAGAGAAATAAATAAATTATTATTGTACATCTATAAACAATTCAAGGGATTTCATCTGCAAATATTTATTCTTCCCTTAAAGAAATTTAATTATTTAACAGACACAGTAAATAAACCAAACAGTTACAAACAGAATATCACATCATAGGAAGATGCCTTAAATTATATATAATTTTTTTTTTGTAATTTCAACTATTCTCGATGTATCTTCTAATACTTTTATTATGAGAAAACATTGTATTCGCTCTTGTTGTATTCTACTTTTAGATAGCAGTGAAAAGCTAACAAAACATGTTAAATGTTTTATCTTATATTAACAAGTGACTTCGTATTTCTAATATGTATTTGTTAGCAAAACTGTTTCTCTGACGGCTCTTTTATGTTAACCCTATTTTTTGGGGGAAACAATAAACTAAGTGAAAAAAATTGACTTTACAAAAACTGAACTGTTCATTTTTTCTAGTTAATCCAGAATAAATTACAGTATTATTAATAGAAAAAAAATTTATATACAGAGTGTGGGTGTGGGTGGGGTGGGTGCTTTCTCCTGGTACATCAGCACCTACACCCACACCCACACCCACACCCTACAAATTCATAAAAGGATATGTACCATTAGATCTTTCTTCTTGAGTTATGAGTATTTTACTCAATTTCCAGCCTATTGTAGGATATTACGAACAAAACTGAATTGAGAATTTTCTAGTCTAAAATTTTACTCAAAAATAAATCTCATGACCTTTGTAATATCTTGAAATTTTCAGCAAAAATGGATGATTTCTTCTCAAGATATACCATATTCAAAAAAGTCGGATTTATTCGAATCTTTTGCGACAAACTAACAGTTTTACAACTCTGTTACCTTGAAAAGAAACTATTTGTTTTTTGTTGAAACTTTCAGGATATTATCAGGACTATGACATTTATTTCTCGATAACATTTCAGACTAAAAATTCTTCATTCAGTTTTCCTCGTAATATTGTATAATCGGCTGGAAATTAAGTAAGATGAACATAAATCAAATTGAACGAAGGTTATCAACTAGAAGAGGTTTCTTGTCAGTCGTTTTATGCAAAGCAATTTCGATTTGAATGATACAAATTATATAACTACTGATCTGTACGACAATGTATCATGAGATAAATAATGAAGATATTTTGATACTATGCAAACATTACAAACATATATTATTTAGCAATAATCACCTTGTTTATAACTTTACTTTTAGGATCTTATATGAAAGAGTTTTAGCAAAATAGCAGTTGATCAAGACCAACTCTATAAATTGAACGTCTTGTACGAAGAGCGTTCAAATGAACAATCAGTTTCACTGGAAGACAATTTAAAAATTTTTTATGTTTAGTGTTGTTTTAGTTTTTAACTTTTTGATATTATTTTCGATTATCTTTTATTATTTTGAATACAATCTAGACGTTTTCGATATCATATACCTTGGGTGTGAGGTGTAGGTGTGAAGAAGAAAACATCCACACCCACATCTTCAAGAATATTCTGAACGTTCTTTTTCCTGAATGATTGAAATTAGTCGTTAGTTATTAGAAAATTTTGATAGAAAGTCAATGTTGTTGTCAAAAAAATTGTTAGTTTAATATCCATCATTCTTTCCTACGGTATAAAAATTCATTTGACTCTCTCTGATTATGATCTAGAGAAGCAATGCGAATCATATATTACAATTATTTGAAAAAAAAATCAATCAGTTTGCGCTCTTTCAACTTCTTCAGAAGTGTTGAAACGTGCGTGATTATTCGTTAATTTATTTTTTTATAATACGTGGACAGGTTCGTATGTCTATGATTATAATTGAATTTTTGATACAATAGGGCATCTTTGCATATGCTATCAGTAAAAAAAACACGCTTCCTAGCCATTCTTTCAAGGTCAGAGAATTTGATCGTAATACACACTATTGACTGCCATGAGAAAAGCAACTATGGATTTTTTGATATAGATCTTTGCCAGGGTTCGATAGCCTCGTGATGGATCAATTCCTTCGACTCAGAAAATATAATGCATACTTTCTTTCTCCTTTTCTTGCACAAGTCAGTTGAAAAAGTTATTATTGTTAATATGGCTTCGTATAAGCAAATATACCAAACTCGATGAAACATTTTCATTTTCCACTATGATCTGAAATTCATGTAAGCACTTTCATTTATTTGAAAAAAACCTAATTATTTTTTTGAATAACAGGGAGAAAGGCAGTCACTGTTTTTTTATTTAATGCTAATCATCCACACAACAATCTCAGTAAGCAAACTGATTTACACATTGCTCTAATCAAACATTTTCCTTGTATTACCGAATGCGACGATGACAAACTACGAATCCTATCACTTTTTTCTAGTAGGTTTTTCAATCTGCGATAAGTTATTTTCTTATTGATTCATTCGTATGTTAATCATATCGATATGACAAGTAGGGAGAAAAACATTGAATGTAAATGTCTTGAAAACTGTTAAAATTTTCCAACCAAGCATATTTACTAGACTTACCTTTCTAATAAAACTACCTTTGCACCCCCAGATTAAGAAATATGGAATGATTTCAACAGGAAAAACCTAAAATCGAGGAAGCTTGGAAGTCGTGCTTTAGACCGAAAAGTCTCCGATTTTTCGCGGTAACTTCATGCCAACTTCCTGTTCTGTCTCACAGGAAATGGCCATAAAACATTGGAAAAAACTCGGAGACTTTGCAACCGGAATACTGCTTCCATGTTCCATTAATTTTCGGTATTTTCTGCCAGATACATTGATATTTCTCCCATCTTTCCGGCCGGTTTCCGTAAAATCGTATTGTTTTCAAAGCTCGTAATCATTCACCTCAGTCGTTCGTCTAAGCTATTAGTAATTCATGAGAGTAACGTAGCCTACGGGTCGGGTACCCGTGCAGTACTCTATGTCCAACGTATCACTACTCAATCAAGAAGTCTATATACGTTGGTCGCAGCAATTTGATATGTAGTATCATACAATTAATCAGCAGACACAATTTTTAGATTTTTATTTCTTAACAGAATGCCCATTTTATTCTTGATTATATTATTACTGTTTCCGATCTCCGACGAAGTGCACTTCAATGGTGGAAACATCAGATGGGTACCAATAAATCCCTATAACAATTCGAGTTCCGTTCAAATATCTATTATACAATCTTATTGGTGGACCTACCCAACCATAACCTGTGCAGCAAATGTACCAATTTCTACAAGTGGTCGAAGTAGTGCAAATGCTAATTTGACATGTGTTGCTGATTGTTCAACTGACGGTGGTTATTCGAAGAAACCAGTCAATATTTTGACTGATTGTACTTCATTTAGTTCATCATTGGGCATATTGACCAGTCAACGATCAGTTAATATTACACTTAATGCTAGTGCGCATTTTTATATAGCATATCAAGGAAGTGCTTGGCTTACCTTGAATAATCCATCCAAAAGTAATCTATATTGGTCTATTTTGAGTTTTATTGATCTTCGAATGCGATCCGATGGTTTTATTAATACTCCACCTGTAGCGAGTGTTGTTTCTCCACAATACGCGATTGTGAATAAGACACTACAGATTCAAATACCTGTATCAGATTCAAACCAAGGTGATGATGTAAGATGTCGTTGGTCTGAATATAAGCCTGGAATTGATAGGCGAAAGCGATCAGACCAAGAGTTTATTCCTCATAAAGGTAAAAAAGAAACCGTAGACGACAATGTTGTACTAATTCGGAAAAAAAGAGCACTTTACACATGCAATAGCACCAGATGTCGAAATACGTGCAGGAACGGATGTAACTGTACTTGTGGTAGTTGTTTAGGAACCACTTGTACTGGTTCTACATGTACAACAAGTCTTTCCTGTTCAGCCGGAACAACCCCATCCACCACAACCGAAACTACAGGAACGATACCAACCACTACATCGTATATTACTCGTCAAGCAATTGATGAATGCGGTGGCATCTGTTATCCAACTAGTGTACCAAATGGTACCACTCTGTCAAACTGCACTTTGACCTTTCGAGGACTTGTATCTAATACTTGGTATGCAATTGCTATTCAGGTAGGTTTGCGGACAGGTAAGACGTTTTGTATTGTGCACCAATATTTTTTTCATACTTTATAAGCGCAATTTTTTTTGTGAGTATATGAGAAAACAATGATAAATGATTGAATACTTATTTGAGATCGTACTGAATTTTCTTCGTCATTTTGACTGAAATCGAACATAATGTTTTTCATTTCCATTCATGTAAAAATCTGCCTCTTTTCGGTTGAGATATCATTGTGATCATCACTATTCTCGATCAAATCAAAATAAGTAAAGAACGCAGTAACAGTTTCTTTTAAACTATCGCACGCGTAAAAACTTGTTTTTCGTTATTGAATACTCTAAATTGAATTAGTATTGCATTTCTTCGACTAATTTCACATATAAAATCGATCTATTCAATTAGTCTTATTTTCTTCTTTACAGGTGGAAGATTTTATCAACGAAACAAGTCTTATTCCAATGAGTTCAGTACCAGTTCAATTCTTGATCTATGTTATGCCAGATCCAGCATGTTACAATGCTCCTGTTATTCTTCCTTTAACAGGTTGTTTCGAAGTAACAATTGGTGTTACTAAGAGTTTCAATCTTTCTGTAATAAATTCGTGTGATCCCAGTACCACTGACATTGCTGATGTCATTATTTCACAAGGATTTGATGATATTCAAATTAGTAACTTGACAACTTCATCACTAAATACATCGCTTGTTTACGTCACATTTACTTGGACGCCACAGGCAAGTCAACTTGGGACACAACAATTATGCACCATTGCCTATACCAGGTAAAACGTCTTTCTAATTATTAATCACTATCACGGTTTTTTCCCTATGGAATAGTGACGAAGTACAATCAGCACAATATTGTGTAACATTCACAGTGATAATGTCATCTATACCCTGTATGACGACAACAACGTCAACATCGACGACTACTTCCACAAGCACATCCGGTACAACAAGCACAACAACATCGGTGACAACAACCTCAACATCTAGTTCAACATCGACTACCATCAGCTCAACAACAACATCAATAATCACACCTACTACAACAAGTGAATCGTCTAATAATCAATCTCTAATTCTTGGATTAGGAATCAGCCTTGGTTTATTATTACTCCTAGCGCTTAGTATATTGAGTCTATTTCTTTGTTGTCAATGGTGTTCTGAAGGTTTCTGGTATGTTGACATATGTTTTTCCTATTTCTATACATTACATTGATTTTTATTTATAAGGAAACGAATTCGTCAAAGATTTTGGGAAAAGAAGATCAATCCTTGTGAACACTATCAGGAAGAACATGTCTTTTATAAACCAATGAACAAAAATAACATATCTCAAGAGCCCATAACTTACCGAGAACAGTACATTAATAAGGAATCATTAATACCGATGAAACGTCTAGCACGCGCCGATTCGTTTCTCTCCAGTTCATCATCACATTTTGATCAGAATTGGACAATAGTAACACGAACGACACTTTTGTCAGCACTCTCGCATAGTTCTATGCCAAGTGCAGATATTCCTTTGCAAACGACCCATCTAACACAACCAGCATACCCAGATTACAGTGGTTCGATTCTTGTTCGAGCTTATGTTGAACAAAAACAAAGACATACATGATCCAATTGATTAGCATCATTTCTCAAATGAATATTACACGAATGTGATTTTTTCTTAGAATAATTCTGCTCGATACTTAATTATAAGATAAAAAAATAATTGTTCTGATAGATTTTATAGAAATGAAGAGTGATATATACTATTGATTATTGCTGTATTCAATTCAAATGTATTATTCCGATTCAAGAAAAAAACCAAATGCGAGAGTAATTAAACAGTGACAAAAACGTCGTTAAAGACGATTGAGATATAAAATACAATGAAGTTGCTTCAGTGCATTCCACTGAGAATATTAGAATCTTTTTTCTTCGCAAAACGATTTTTAAGGAATTCAGCTATAAGGTATAACGCAAAATCTTAAAAGATTCTGTGAAACATCTTCTTAGAGAATACGAAAGTAGTACAAGATTAATGCCTGTAAAAACATTCATAATATAAGCCGACTATTTAGATATGACATGAAAGTTTAAAATCGTCGATGACGTTTTCGAATAATTAGGTTCGTTGGCTCACTAATCTCGATTATCACAATGGGAATCAATTGGATATTTCCTATTCTTATTTTTATAATAGTACTGTGAATCGGTTTCTTAATTATCTTCTGTCAGTAACAAAAAAATATGATTGATCAATCTCATAGAAAATCTTAAGTTTGTATCAAATCAATTGTCATTCTATTTTGGAGTCAATCGTTTGTGCGGAAGCAAATTTGTTTGCAGATGATATCTCACGACATATGATCAGGCAAAGACGAGCTCAGGATACTGTTGTTGTTCTTTTCTATTCTATTCTAATCTACACAACTTTTTGGATTTTATTGTGCATCAATCGTGTTTCTTGAACTTTATCATTCTGATGAATAACCTTTATTCTTCTTTTCCCCCATATAAATATGTTACTCTGAGTTCGGTATACATAAAAAAAGGTCGAAAGAAAAAATATAGAATGTACGGTGCAAGTAATTCAAAAGTCGAGGAAATTTTTTTTTGTCTTTGATATTTTTCCATGATTTGATAGAAGTCGTCGAGTTCTACAAAAATGTTTAAACCATTTTTTTTTGGGTTAAAATTCACTGAAACTATCTAAAGAATGTACAAAAAGTCGCACATTTTTCTTACATTTTTTATATGAAAAAAAACTTTTCAAATAAATTCATCTATTTTTCTTTGATATCCTTGTGTGAGAGGTTTGAAGCTATGCTCACTCGATACAGCATGAAAAACTACATTTACTCGTAGAGTTTTTAAAATTTGAGTCTCAGAAGGTAATCCTCTCCAAAAAACTGGTTAGATTATGCCAAAAAGATATCAAGTCTCGATAGCTCTATCATAACGAACCACCACTCTCGAATGTTTTCCTTTCGTTTCTGATATATCAAACAAATTATCTGTTCATTCTCGTTGAAGACTAATAAAATATGTTAGAAATTCGAGAGATGGAATTCTAACGAGAAAAAAAAATATAGTAATCCATTAATGAGAGCGTACATTCACTTTCCATTTGTCCGAGCTTCCTGGAAAAAAGCTCATCAAAAAAGTTATTATAGATTCAGAGTTCTCAGGTGCTGTCTTCTATGATATGCTTAAGGGGTGATCCACAAATAATGGCACATTTTTGTATTTCGTGTTTTTCTTGTTTCAACCAAGTATTATTATACAGAGATTGATTCCTTGAAAATATGTCGAAGACAGCCAAAATTAGGCTTATTCTTCTAATTTCATTCGAATACAGAGTCGTATTCTCAATACGAGCATTCAATATAACGTACCATTTATTTCTATTCAAACTATAAAAATGTAGATTCAAAAGATTAAGTTTTATTGGATTTTTACCAAAGTTTCTGAATGTCCTCAAACTGCTAATTCAATACCATAATCTTTGTAAATTTTCAAAAACAACATTCTTTTCCTGAGCAACGGTTGTTGATGTGAAAATCGTTTGAACATAGCTAAAAGATAGAGCTTTTTGCGTGCTGCAAAATGGTTAATAAGTTTATTCATTCTTTTATTCGATCACATTTTTAAATAAGAAGTTTAGATTAAACGTTCTGATGTAATGCTGTAGAGAAATGAAAGAAGAATCTTTTGAGACTAAGCACAAATTTCTAAAATGAAAGTTAGCCGAGAAAAACAAGACATATAAATTGTGGCCGTTATTTATGAGTCATCCATTAGAATCACAATAGTGGAAAATGGTTCTAATTATAAAGCCTGTTTCTTTGAGGTCAGGAGTACACCAAATCCAACCAAACCGTTATGTCCGTTATAGTCATTCAATTATGTCCACGCCTGCGTACCCTTCAACTATTTTAAAAGATGAAGCCTGATTGCAGAAAAATAGTTTATCATGAATTTTGACCCATATCGAGCTCTGATTGGTACAATGAAATGGGTTTTCGAAAGAATAATGCATTCCTTCACAGATTAGTTAGGCAGGCTAAGCATTGTTTTATTGATTGGTCTGAATTTGATTGTATCCATATCAAGCAATATGACTGCTTTAGGAATTCCACAAATATGCTAAATACTTTTGTATTTAAATATTTTTTGTCTTCTTCGTTATAAGGAAATAAAGTTATGGTTGTTCTCACTCGTGATTATACTCATATATGTTTTTCTTTATGTACACTGGTATAAAGTTTCTCTATTCTTTGTATATCTTTCCTCTTCTCTACCTCTCTTATTGTCATCTTCATCATTTGTCTTTATCTAGTTGTTGCTCTTTATACTTTCTTTCTTCTTCTCTTTTTTCTTTTTATTCTTATATCTCAAAATGGATTTTATTAACTTCATTGTGAAGCAAAACTTTTGTATGGCACAATAAATATATATATAGAAAAAAGAATATAAGTAGCTTGACATGACATGAAATTCTTCATTTCTAAATTTAGTATTATGATAAATCTAAGAAGAAAAACGTCGGTCGATAAGCTACTAAGAAAATATATTTCTCTTCATTTGAGAAGAATTTGAACAAGTGCAAATGTCTGACTCGTTCGATGAAATTTCCATTCAACTGGCACGAATTCTTTTACCTATCATTATCGTTGTGGGTGTAGTGGGAAACTCTATCAACATTATTATACTTACTCGACCCAATTTACGTAACCATGCATGCTCTTACTATTTTATTGCTCTTGCTTGTAACAATCTCCTCCATTCAATCTTGATTATTTATTACCTACTAGCTAATGGATATCAAATCGATGGACAAGCTGTTTCTCTTTTCTGGTGTAAATTGATTCAGTTTATTAATACTATAAATGTAATCTTATCGCCCTACTACATTGTACTTGCATCGATTGATCGATTTTGTGCTAGTTCGACAAGTGTTAGACTACGCAACTTTAGCTATGTGATTGTAGCTCGATGGGTGATTTTAGTTTCGACTGGTTTATACGTCCTCTTCTGCATTAACACTCTTGTACTGTGTGATTTGCGCGACGATGATTGGCTTGGATGTAACGTTCGAAGTGACACTCTCTACAAGAAAATATACATATTGATGCAGGTTATCCAGTTCGCTGCCATCGCACCATGTCTTATGGGATTATTCGGCTTGTTGACAATCTACAATACAAGTAAACTGCGTGTTATTCCTGCAACAACTATGCGTCATCGTCGTACAGAAGGACAACTTGCTCGAATGCTTCTCCTCCAAGTGGCTACTTTTATGGTACTCAATATGCCTCTTTGTATAATCTATTTAATGTTGATCTTGCCGACTGGATATCAACCCACACGAGAGTTACTCTTTGCTAACAATATTGCTCCATTTCCTTTTCATTTTTCTTATGCTACAACCTGTTTCTTGTACATCATTTCAGCTCGCGTGTACAGAGAAGAGTTCATTCGACTAATTCACAAAATCTTGCGAATCAATGGCGATCGACGAATTCATCCGAATATTGTTACCCATGCTCTTCGTCCAACAGCCATATCTCGTCACACGAAGCCAGTAGTATCTAAATGAACAGATCAAAGGAAATTAATGACTTTGAACAAACATTGAATTTAATATGCAGATGACAACAATATTAAAGGATGATTTCTTATTTTGGTATTGTCTTTAAGCAGCTTCGATATACGAAGCTAAACCTTTTCGTATTGAATTCTGCTTTAATCGTTGTAGCTCTATTTTAATCTTTTGTTGTTGTGTGTATTGTACATTTCTTTACATAATCCGTCTAACATAATAAATGATTATCTTGACAATGATTTATCTTCTAAAAAAAGATTTAATCTTCAGACATTCCATTAAATAAATTGGAAGTCATTCAAGTCGTACGTCATAAAAAAATATTATTGAAATTAATAAAATGAATTGCATGCTTGTATCTACCATAAAATTCAGTAAATTCTTCTAAAAAAGCTTGTTAGCGCAGCTCCTTCGGAGCTGAAATGTGGAACTCACGTATATCCTTCAACCTTGCTATCCTAATACATCATCCGTAAACTGAAAAATTTCTCGTCGGCTGTAGTTGTTTTCACTAATAACCGATAACAAGAACAAGAATTTATTATTTATTTCTACATTTATTTCTAAATTGAAAACAGAAATTTTTTATTTTTTCTACGAGCGCCCTATTTTTTGTTTGCATTGTTGCTATTCGCTCATTATTTTTAATTTTTTTTAATTCATGTTTTTTTTAATTTAATATTCTTATTATTATAATCATTGTATCGGCAAATAAGTCTACTTTACATATCCATGATATCTATGGCAGATTTTACGTACTATTATATATATATTAATCAACTCACAAACAATGATGTTCATTAATCTTCAAAATTATAACTTTACCAATTTATCAAAAAAAAAAAACTCTAGAAAATCTGACATCTGTTATTCTTCATTGGTAAAGTCGGTAATGTTGGATTGTCTGTAATTGGGAGGTGTCTGTAATGAGAGGGTGTCTGTAATGAGGGGGTGTCTGTAATGAAGGGGTATCTGTAATGGGGGGTGTCTGTAATGGGAGCCTCGTTGTTATGGTCTGTAATGGGGGGGGGGGTCTGTAATGTTCTCTTTCTCCGTTGCTATGGTCTGTAAGTGGGGGGTGGGGAGCCGCCAAACCTCGAACTTAAAACTTACACTCACTATTTTCTCCGAAAATATACGTGAGTTCCACAAAACTGTTACCGTAATTTCTGTAGGATTAAAATGTGAAATACGAAATAGTTGCTGTTACTAATAGAAAGATGTGTTCAACAAATCGGTTTAGGTCAATACTCTCTATACTCAATACTCACTTCGATTCATCATCCAAAATTCAATCAATATTTTCCTAGACATTTTCAGTTTGACTATAAGCTCATGGATTTCTCTATTAGTAATTTATAAAAAATACATAATAAACTATACTTTTGAGACTATGTCTGTCATGTCTGTGGGAGAGGGGTCCAAATTTCTACTTCTATACTTCAACACTCCTTTCAGATCGTGTTTCGCAAAAGAACTTGTTCATAGTTATTCAGGTGAAGAAAAAGATGGATTCAATTTAGGTATATAGATGAACAAGATTTGGTTTGTTCTGAGCTTGTGTCGAGACCAGCAGTTGCTCATAGATTTCGGCTGATTTCTTTCATTCGCTCACTGTCCACATGACATGATTCGAATGAGCCGTTGTAATCCTATTAAATACCCTGATCATCATTAATTAATCGAAGTCGAACTTGCCATATTCCTCCCGCGAGTTGAATTATATCTCCGATTCGATATGTACTATGCATTGAGAGAAGAATTTCTCGTTTTCGACCTTGAGGGTGTGGGTGTGGATGTAGGTTGTATGTTTTCTTTACCTGCATCTCACATCAGACCCACACCCCATCTTGAAGGAATAAACATTACAAGTTTGAATGCTATCATGCTACAGAACCGATCGTTGTTTCAACTGTTAAATCATTAAAAATGAACTCAACAAATGTGAATCTTGGAGTTGAGATTTCAAACGATGGAATGAATTTTTAATCCAAGATTTTAGCTACATAACTAGTAAATTCAATAAAAATTAATTTTATATTATTTATAATCATTCGGAACAAAACGAAATAATTTAAACTCAAATCGAACAATAATCGCTTTAAAAAAGAAACAGGCATATTTTTTAGGAATCTAATGTATATAGTGAAAAGAGTTGAAAATAATCTATTATACTCGTCTTTTTTCTATCAAATTTATTAAGTAACAAATATTCGAAAAAAAAATCGAAATTTAGTTGCAATTTAAACGAATTTAAAAATGAAACAACTAAGAAGCAAAAAAAATGATTTTAGTGCAAATAATGTTTTCATTTGCAATTACCATATAATCCATAGCATGATTTTTGATTGTACAAAGAAGCAAAAATATATAATTCATTCGACAAAATACGAAAGGAATGACGACGAGAGTCCCTTGATTTGTTTGTGAATCAGACACATATAAGAGACGAATTCAATTGGTATTCTATTACAGAACTAGGAAATAAAGATTCATACATTGTAAATGCTTTTTTCATTCATTCATTCATTATATAGAAATGATGTGATTTGTAATAGTACTATTTTTCAATGTCTTCTTCTCATATGTACAAGGCTTGTTCATGAATTTCTTCTCATTTCATTCTTTTGTAGAATGAACAATATTTAAATCAAACTACAGCAATCCCTAATTGCTATTGTAATGAAAATAATAATGCTGTTCAATTCACATTGTCTACTTTGGCTCATTCCACATGACAAACAACATTAAATTGTTGTCTAAATCAGTGTAATTTAAGTTCAAACGATAGCGACAACTCGGTGTGGGCATCAATGAGTATAGGTCATCTGCTGACTCACAAAAACCCATATCCAATTCTAATCAGATAAACTTTCTTTTGTGCCAAAAAGAATTAAGTTTCATTCGTTGAGCTAAGAAATTATTTTGTATACAATGATTGAACTATTGCAACTTGTGTGTCACGATTTGTTAGTGTTGTTCATACGAGTTTCGATTTCACATTTTAATGATAAAGTGAATTTCGAAAGTACAGTTAGCCTAAACTATATTGAGTGGCTGTGCTTTCTACACAACGAATGCTAGATCGCATGATTGATGTTTCAAGTTGATGAAGGGTTCTATTTACATTAAAAAAAAACAACTCATTTTATTATTATACCAGTAAAAAAAAACGGTTGCTGAAATTTATAGTGGAATTCTAAAAGTTTCTATCAAGAATAATATAACAAAAAATTATGAGAAAAATTTATTATCGAAGCATTTATCAATGTTTTTTGAAACTGTCGAATTCTTCTTTCAAAAATGACACCAGAAGAAGGGATGTGGATATCAACAAGAAAAAAACCACACTCTCATTCCGTGAATAATAGAAGTATTGCTGAAATGTTAATAAGAAAAACGACTCTGTAAATCATTGGAAATAAAAACCTATTGAGTTTTACACTTTTTTTTCTTTTATTCATCTGTATTTGAAAAAGTCACTAAAAAACTTTTATACCCAATGTATATTAAGTGCAAGTAATCATACGTTTCTAACTTGAAATTTGATTTTTTGTTGCAATTCCTTTTGAATTTTTAATATTTTCTGCGTCGATTTTTTATCTGGTATCATATTTCCGACTATGCCCAAGGTTATTTTGTTCAATACATTACAATTAGTTGCCAATCTTATCCATTCATTTAAATTTAATAATGGATTCACGTTGTATGTAGCAGTAGTTAATTGAACATGTCGAATATTAAGCATATTTTCCATAAAATCAACAGTTGTCATTAAAGAACATGATTCATGATGTTGCAAGCAATCGCTTATTGAAAATAACAGAAATTTATTCATATCAAGAAGAAAATATTCAATGGAACTGTTTCTCCAGAACATCACATTGTATAATTCTGCATTAGAATGGGTGCATACTAATCCTGTACAGTGAACTTCAAGTCGTTTGACTGAACGGTACAGATGATTCATCATAGGACTCAAAACACGAAGACTAACTTCATTGTCATACCAAAAAGAGAGACGAATCAATTTAGGAAAATATGTTTTGAACTTGGAGATTGAATCTACTCCATGCAAATTGAGAAGACTCAATGAAGTAATATCAGTAAAAACACTTAGTGAGTGTAATGTTGATTGTGTTGGATAAAAAATTGTATTAAAACGTAAGGAAACAATTTGTTCAAGCTCCAGTTTTCGAAGAATCATTTTGATAAAGATATCGGACGGTTGAAAAATCTCTACTCTTTTTTTATATTGACGTAGTAAAGGAAGAATATTAGGAGAAAATAGATTGATTGCATCGTTTAATGTGAGATATTTCAGTATTTCAAGAATTACATCCCAACAAAGGCCAGTCTTGGAAAGGAAATCAAATGACTGAAACGAAATGAATACAAATAATGATATTTTTTGCAATTTGTTCGATTTCTCAGTATTGTTTCTTTTGTCTGCTGAATCAAACTAAATAAATGTATTAAACAAAAACTCACTAAAATTCGTTCATTTTCATCACATTCTTCTTTAAAAACAGTCAATTCATCAAGTACATTTCCTCGAGTAGATTTTTCTTGGGCTCGTATTAAAGTATCACCTTTGAGCAATATTTTGAATTGATATTCGGATATTAATGAATCATTTTTTTTCTCTTCAAAAAGTCGCATGATTCCAATCAGCATTGGATATTCTTCTACATTTTGGGTATCCGGAAGTTCAGTCGAGAACATTTCTTTTCAAATACTTTGAAGTCTAATTCAAAAAGAAAACCTTTCTTTATAAAGAAACACGATTATGTCGCTTGAAAAAAGATCTGATTTCAATTTGAATAAAGAATTCAAATATATCGAAAACAAATTTTTCTTTTAAACGAATATTGTTTTTATGTAAATAATGAAATTGTTAAAATGTTTGTGTTGGAAATTAACAAATAATAATATGACTTACATATTTCTATTCGATTCTAAAGTAACATCCCATGGCCATACAATATAATTGTCAAGTAAATAATTGATAATAGTTGTCGAGCGGAATATCCCACAACAAAATATGTTATTGATCATACTTTTGTCATGTTGTATATAGACAAGTACTGGACGACACTAAATTATAATAGATTTTTTTTTTTTTTGTTGTATAATTATAAAGAGATATGAATGAACTTCTTCAGTTAATGTTGAACTGAAAGCTTCGTCACATGCATTTTGAAGAGAACCCACATAGAATATTGGACAATCGTGATAATCTCGTTGAAAACATTGATATAATGATTCAATGGTAGTAGTTATATATTGATTTGCTTCTGTAGCTGTTATGTGATTTATTAATTAAAAGTTTATATTTCTGATTTAACAAAAGGCGTATAACTTACAAGCCATGTGAGTGTTAATTTTGTAGTCATCACCAGAACTATTACTGTTGCTTTCCATTGGAATATGTTCCTAGACAGAATAATGAATAGAATTTCTTTAGAAAAAGCTTCGTTAAAATTAAATCATCTTTAAATTTCGTGTTTCTTGAAAGCTTTGTAGTTTCAAAAATTATCACAAATGTGAAATGATTATTTTATGTTACAATAAAAGATATATTTACCATTATGACTGTTAAGCTTTTAGTTATGAATAGATGAGATTGTTAAAATGATCAAAGACATAGACATGTGCAATCGAATTTTGAGAAAAAAAGAAAATGATATTGTCAAATAAAGTTCACAAAAAGCTGGATATATTAATATTTTTATAAGAAAAAATGCAATTTTTTTCCAACAATATGAGATGCGTCATGCTGTAAGTCGGAAGTATTTTTTGTGTGTCAACACAGCGAAAGATAAACAGAACGGTAAACTACACGTATTCTTTTTATTATATTCTTTTTATTGGTGAAGTCAAATTCATGACAATAACAATGAAAACTGATTGTGAAATTTCAATGAGAATGTTATTTTGATGCCGAAACATATCCAATCGCGTTTCAAATCAAATGAATGGATTTTTATGGATGGCAAATTGTTCAAATATAGTCGAGAATAATTTAAGATTATCTTTGTTTCCAAAAGAATGATTTCAATATAATTCAAGTTTCTGCATGGAAAAAGAATGACGATCATTAAAAAAAACGCGTCATATATGGTAGTGAAACAAACATTTTTTTTTAAAATTTATTGTAAAATCTTCATTTTGTGAGAAAGATAGGATATGTATGAAAATCTAGATATGTAAAAAGTTGACTCTTGTTTATGTAAAATAACAAAAACCATTGAATTTCGAATTATGAAAATTTCAAAGATAACCATTTAAATAAATCTTTTTTTTATTTTTGAATTCCCTAGATAGTATTGGGAATAGCGAAGATAAATGATACAAACTAAATAAGAAATTCAATGTGACGGTAACAACTTGAGAAACGATTTTCAACAAGACAATCCTTCATCAGCGTCAGATTTCTTCTTCTCTGAAGCAAATAGTTGAATTATGTTATATATAGTTCACACATTCTGCGAAATGTGTAGCGTTAAAAATTCTGCTTTGACATATGATTCAGCAAGTTTTATTTAAAAAATAACGAGGTATCGCAGAGTAAAAACTAAATACATATGCATGAGATAAATTTGAGGAAAGAATTTGGTATTTAGAATAGTGCTTTGGATTATTTCATCTTCAGACAAAATGAAAATACATCGATAATGTTTCAACAAATAATTACTCTCACTTCGATGAATATTTTTCTCAGATTATGATTTTCGAGGGACTGAAATATTAAAAAGGACGAAATCATCATAGTTATGAATCCGAGGGGTAAACAGCAGAGACTTCGCTTTTGAAGTCCTCTGAAATCTCAGAAGTCTCTTAAAATCTTATGAAATCTCATGAAGTCCCTTGAGATCTTACGAAGTCCTCTGAAGTCTCTTGAAGTCTTTTGAAGCTTCTTGAAGTTACATGAAGTCTCATGAAG